GTTGAAAGGGCTTGGCACAGGGTCAGGCAGACACCAGAGGGAGCAGCGGTGCTTTGCCAGGGGAAAGTATCAATACAGGGACTGCACTTAGATCTGCTTCCTTCCCTGTGTTCCTGGCTCTCCAGTTTTAGTAAGTTTAAAAAAAAAAAAAAGTTAAGGGGGAAAAAAATCCAGTCATTTTTCGATATGTATTTCTGCACACAGAGTGTTTTTATTTATGCTTGAACTACAAAGATGATCAAGACTGTTTTTTAACAGGTCTTCCATTTAATAGCTAATTAAGGAAATGTTTGCTTATTGATTGTTTAATCAAATATATTGGTCATGTTTTTAATGATTTTTTTTTTTTAAACTGTGGTTGTGGATTTTATTTTTTTTTTAGCAGTGTAGTAGATAACAAGCCTTATTAACTGCTGATGTCTTCTTAATTAGGGAGAAAAAAATGTTTTTGCTACATTTTTGGCAGTGAAGTAATAATTGAACCAAAGTAACACTATATTGAAGATAAAATAACCAGTGATTTTTTTTTTGTTTTTAAGGCTAGTTTAGTAAGTTGAGGTACAGCTTAATTTTAGCTGTCTGCTAATTTGTGTGACAGCTATAAATTCCTAGCCTGTATTAGGGTTTTGTTTTGTTTTTAATTAATGAAGCCAAGCTATGTAAGAGATGGATCTTGAAATAGTGAGATATTAGAAAACCCTATTAAAGGTTTCCATGTCATTAAGGAATGCCTAAGGCCTAAATCCTTTACTTGAATCCAAATACAGTATTTTTAGAGCAGTTTAAAGATGAGATGTAACTAAGTAGATTTTTATTCAGGTAATATTTTAATTCCTATTATCTTTCAGTTGTGTGGGTGTTCGTTGTATTGTAATAAAGCAGTTAAAGTGTTATGGGCATTCTAAGGCCCCATGAAGTGTGGGTCAATGGGAATAAATACATGGTTATAAATGATTTTTTTTTTTTTAAATAACATCCATTCAGAAGATCTATTATTGTGGCTGTGGAAATGAAAACCAAAATAGTTAAAATCAAAACCAACTCACCACCCCCCAGTAATAACAAAAGCCAGTGTAAACATATGTCACACTGAAGTTATTTGACAAAGTTGTAAGTCTAGATTGGATTCTAATCGTGCTTTTATAAGCTGGTTGGCTCATGTTCCTGCTCCTCCCTCTCTTGCCAATGCCATAGTCCAGGGTGAATTTCTCTGTAGGTTGCTGATGCAACCCTTTGTGTAGGTTTTGCAGACGCTCTAAGGTGGAAAACCCAAATTCCCACCCTGCCTCCCGCAAGAATCTGTTGATACTGGAGGTGTGTGCTGAATTAGCTCATGCTCTGCCTCTACATCTCTGTAGTTTAATTACTGAGTGGATGGAGGTGGTGACTCTGCTGCAGGAGTACAGACATCCCTCCAGGGCAGCGGCACCTCCTGTTTGGAAAAACCTCTGGCTCAAGGACGGAAATTTGCAAGAAACTACTGCTCTGTCTGTTATTTCCTGACTTCATAGGGTGAAACTGGAGTAGAAATTGTAGGTGAAGGAGCTGGAGGAGGCGAGCTGGCTGCACTCCCTCTGCAGTTGGTATTTCTTGCATAAGTTTTATCCTTGCTCAGTTATTTTAAAAGTTATACTAATTAAGTAGTCCACATCACAATTCAGATGGGTGGTGTAACGCCTGTAATCTGCATAAACACAAACTGTGTCACTTGCACACTATTTGAATGAGTACTAGTAAGGCCTTTTCTGAGCAGATTTTGGAGGCGATTGTTTCAGGCAGACATGCAGTAATAGACTGGAATCAGCTGGCTGAAGCTGCTGCTGTTCTGAAGCTATTATGTTACATTTGCCCCACTCTCCAAGTGGTGATGTCAGATGTGCATATGAATAAGCTCTTGAGCCACCTAACTATTTCCAGGTAAAACTGTTTCTGCTTCCTTGAATACTCTGGGCTGAGACCAACAGTGATCCATGAGCTGATTCAGGAGTGAGTGCATCAGATGCCTTCATTTAGGAACAGCCACACTTATCAAAAGGGAGGGGCAGGCGGCTGGGTGGTGACAGCTTCAATTATCTGATTTTTATCTGCTGGTGAATGTCTGTCAGCACCTTAGGTTAGTTTGCTTAGTGTAAGGCTAAAACTCAGTACAGTGTCTGACAAACCTACTTGTCTGTGTTAAAAGTACAGGGTGCCTAACATTGTAGCACAATTTGATGCCTGCTAAACATCGCAGTTTACAAGCCTAATTAAGAAAGGGCCATCTAGTTGTAGTGTAGACAGGTCTGAAAGTGTTGAATTTCTAAGGCAGGAAAGTTGCAGGTATGGTGCAGATGTATCTTCCTATTTTTTCAGTAATTTTTAGGGATACTTATCTGGTAGTAAATAGACGTTTGACACTTTGGAGAAATGTGGATGATTCTGAAATTATGTCTTCAATTTAACTTCATGACAGGGGCTGTATTCTATGGCATGCTTGTAATTAAAACTTTACCAAATGTAAGTTGTTGCTAATATTTTTGTTCTTGAAAAGGCTAATTAGCTAGCCATAGTCCCTTGTTACTAGATTAGCCACAGGCTATTAGTCACAGGCTTTTTTTTTTTTTTATCCTAGCCCACTGTGAGGTCAAACAAATTTGAAACTCTCTTGTAATTGCATTTAACTGTATATTATAATACTATATCATATTTTGCATACATTTATTCTTTGTGCACAGGATGTTTTATGCCCTTGCAGAATTAAGGCCATTTCATTGATGTTTTTCTAAAATAGCAACTGAAACCTGCCTTTGTAATGTTAACTTCTCTTTTTTAATGGATATCAGTATTTCATAATATTATGTCATTTTGATGTATACATGGCTAAAAATAAAACAACTGAAGTTTTAGGCTTCTTTATATACTGCTTTGGACTCCAGTGCTTTCATGCTATAGGCAGCAACACTGTGGGGATGATGTAATCACTGCTATAACAGAGGGGTTTTGTTGCATCATGAAATTACTGAAGTTCGCTTTAATTACTTCCAGGTTTCAGTCTGCAATTGTAAACCTGAAATTAAACTATGCATTTTCATCATGTTTTCACTTTAAACTTTTTAGTTATTTTACTTAAAAAACATCTCAAGGATAATACAAGCTTGAAATCATAGACAGTGGGCTGAAGAAACATTTCCAGAAATCCTTTGGCCCTCCCTCCTGCCTGTTCTGGGGCAGGAGAAAGTACAGAAAGAATATAGTGGCAGATGTTCTGTTGCTCCTTAGTAATTATTTTAAACAACTCAGAAATTTCTTAGCTTGAGCACATTCACTGTGTAGTCCCTAAATTCTTACAACGCCACGTGGCAGAAGGCTGTGCTGGGAGATTGCAGGACTGGGCAGAAATGCTGGGAAGGATGAGCACCTGCTTACAAGGATACTGTGGCTGAAAAATTACTTATTAAGCTATATATACACATTTGATATTACTGAATTTGGTAGTCTAGAAGGGTACAAGATTGATAGAAGATACTTGGAACCACTGTTAACTTCAGTTTTTGTCATCAGTCTGTTTTGTAGTTTTCCAAACTTGAAAAGATTTGAAGGTTCATTTGATGAGACATTTTTATCATGTAGATTTATGTTCAGTAAGCGGCTCCCGTTGTACGGTACCTGGCTCTTTCAGAACTTAGACACATCGTAAAGTGCTTTATGTCACTGTCCCCTTTTTACAGATGTCACTTAAAAGCAAAGTAGCTTATGCAAAGTCAGCTGGCCCATGGCAAAGCAGGGTTTTAATGTTACTGCCATTTTATTCTTTATTTTTTCTTTTCCTTCTCATCAGTGTTCATAGTGGAATGGAACTAGTTCTTAATATTTAGAGAGCAGTCATTAGCAGGGCTGGGGAATGGGGTGCTCAGCTCTACCTGACTATTTTATTACGCCATTATCACAGTATCTTTAAGCAGCTGGGAGGGAAATTAGCAGGCTTTTTCCCCAGCCTCCTCTCCGTTATCTGTTATGATGTATAATCTTCCCTCTTGTGTTTTGTTTGTGCAAAAAGTTCTCTTGTGCTTTCCGGCGAGGTCAGCTGCTGCGCGCGTATCGCGGCCAAACTGCCGCACTGGGCTTGGCAGTCAGCGCGGCCTCGCTGCCGCTCTGCGCACTGGCAGCGGCCTTCCGGCTGAGGCCTTCCTGGTCCTCTGCTCTTTGGCTAACGTGTGCTTTATCCTTACGTTGGATGTGATTTACTATAATTTTTTGTGTTTTCTGACTTTAGGAAATGTAATTTTCATTTGTTTTCTTTATATTCTTTCCCCCTTGTTCTAAGCCTGGTGTGTTTAAGAGAAAGAGCATAGAGCTCTTCAGTCTTCATCTCCTAAATCAGTGTCCTCCCACAGTATATAACTGTTTTTTTTACAGTCTTAAATCCTTTTCTTCTAATTTTTTTCCTCTTTTAAAGTTCTTTTTGTGTCTTACTATAGCATGACAAAATACTTAAATGTGAGATTATTTTGATAAGCTGTAAGTTGATACCTGCAGTTCTAAAGGTCCTTTATTTCCTTTTTAAAAACAATCTCTTCTCTATAATGGCCACAGCATGTTGTTTTTCAGTCATCCATGTGTTATAAAAACTTGCTGCTTAGAAATGTAGCTAGTTGCTTGTCTATCTTGCATAAGTTCGTTGTAATTCATCTGGTATGCCCAGGCTCCCAGGAGCTTAAAACTTCTAAAAACATTTAATAATACTTTCCATATCGTTTCCCAAAGGAAGCTACCCGAAATAAATGTTCAGATCATTTGGGGCATGAATTAGAGCCTCTAGTCCACTTAAAACAAACAAACAAAAACCCACCCCAAAAAACTGCCAAACAAACTCAATTGCATATTTCTTTGGTGGTGAAGACAGAGGGCAGCTTGCACAAGTGGTGTTAAAACTAGATGTGGGCTCTAGCCCGTGTTCATATAGGTCAGGGTTAGTGCAGCACAACTTGTGTAAGACGTGGATTTGAGACAAGTCAAGAAAAATGTCTGTTAAACCAACTGTCTCTGAAAGTGTAACTACAACTGTTTGCACTAGTAGTTTGGAATCCCAAGATGGCCTTTACTCTGAGGACACAGACAGACTTCTTCCGAATCTGACATCAGCAGTTGAGTCTGTCCTGGCTGATGATTACCCCTCACCAGCTGGAAGGTACTGCTACCTCTACTGCCTGCTAGCCTGAGGAATCTTTTGTAAATACCTTGTTGGTTGATGAGAGTACAGTATCAGCCAGTTTATTTCAACTGTTAGTGTTAGATAACTTCATAAAACGGTAATTAACAATTTAAAACTTCAGTGTTCTCAGCTGTTTGCTGCTGACTTTTGGGAGACTCAAAATTGTTGTAGCAGAGGTGGATGAGTAGTTTATTGGGATAATTTCCTGCTCTTCTGCAGGCAAAATAAACCAAGATAGTTTAAATGAGTGTTTGACCTAAACTGACTAATTTTGCCTGAAGCAGTATTGGATTTATTTGGCAGAGATTTTGGTACACTAATTTCCAGTAGAGTGGCAGCTTCTGAAGTTGCTACAATAGTTTCTGTACTGATGGTGAGCCTGAACATGGTATTTCTTTTTCAGGTGGGGAGTTTATGGTCTGTAAGCACAGTTGTTTGAGCAGCTAGGTAGTACAATAACCACATCCCCTCCATTTTTTTTTAAAGATATTTAATGTTTTATGATAGAAAATATTGAAAGACATTTCTGATTTACTAGAAAATCTACTAACTTTTATTGAGGTTTTCAGTCAAAAGGTATTTGGATGAAAATTGGAATTTCTGGTACTTTTATTAAGGAAAAAGTACTTCAAATGTACTGATACATTAAAAAGTGAGTTTTATCTAGGCATGTTCTGGCTTGAAAATTGATTTATTATGTTAGGGAAGTTTGAAGTGTAGTTGGCAAGTTATGAATTGTTCCTTGCATTTTCAAAGGCATTTAATGATACAAAGAGATGCTAAGTAACATCTTCCACTAGGACCTGAGTAGATTTGGGGAGTTGGGTGATGGACTTGCATTGAAATCAGTGGGAAGCGGGTGCTTAAGTGTTTATGTGCTTGTGAAAACTTTGTGGCAACCATCTACTTGTTTGGGTCCTTACAAACCTCTGAAGATCTGAAAATGTGACTATATATCTTAGGGCTGGTACATCTTTAATTCACCTACCCTTTTTTTTTTTTTTTTTTTTCCATAATTATAACAAGGAAACCAAGTTTTAATTTCCTTTTAAATTCCTACTCTGTACATGTTTTGAATAAAGTAAATATTCTTCATACCAACAGGTAGGAAAGATAAAGCCAAAATTATTTAAAGAGAAAGTGGAAAAATGCCTGGGCAAAAAGTAAAATGTTAAAATTTTAGTTATATTCCAGGTGGATAGTGTTGCTCTTAGAACATTTTATACTCTGATTTAAGAACTTTAAATACACTTTTCCCCCAGGGCTCAGTACTGGGCCAGTCCTGTTTAACATCTTTATCAATGATCTGGACAAGGAGATCGAGTGCACCCTCAGTAAGTTTGCAGACGACACCAAGCTGGGTGGGAGTGTTGATCTGCTTGAGGGTAGGGAGGCTCTGCAGAGGGATCTGGACAGACTAAATTGATGGGCTAGCACCAATTACATGAGTTTCAATGAGACCAAATGCCGGGTTCTGCACTTTGGCCACAACAATCCTGGGCAGTGGGACAGGCTTGGGAAGGAGTGGCTGGAGAGCTGCTTGGCAGAGAGGGACCTGGGGATGTTGATTGGTAGTTGGCTGAACATGAGTCAGCAGTGTGCCCGGGTGACCAAGAAGGCCAACAGCATCCTGGCCTGTATCAGAAATAGTGTGGCCAGCAGGACCAGGGAAGTGGTCATCCTCCTGTACTGGGCACTGGTGAGGCTCCACCTCGAGTACTGGGTTCAGTTTTGGGCCCCTCACTACAAGAAGGACATGGAGGTGCTGGAGTGTGTCCAAAGAAGGGCAATGAAGCTGGTGAAGGGTCTGGAGCACGTCTTATGAGAGGCTGAGGGAATTTGGGTTGTTTAGTCAGGAGAAAAGGAGGCTGAGGGGAGACCTTATCACTCTCTACAGCTGCCTGAAAGGAGGGTGTAGCGAGGTGGGTGTCAGTCTGTTCTCCCAAGTTGCAAGTTTTAGGACAAGAGGAAATGGCCTCAAGTAGTGCCAAGGGAAGTTTAGATTGGATGTGAGGAAGAATTTCTTTCCTGAAAGGGTTCTCAGGCATTGGAATGGGTTGCCCAGGGCAGTGCTGGAGTCCCCATCCCTGGAGGTATTTAAGAATTGTGTAGGCATAGTGCTTAGGGATATGGTTTAGTCATGGTTTAGGGGACTTGTCAATGTTAGGTTAATGATTTGACTTCATGATCTTACAGGTCTTTTCCAATCGAGGGAGTTCTGTGGTTCTGTAAATGAACTCACAAACTAGCTGTTTTTTCTTAAGTTCTCAATATAATTAAAAAATCAGTAATTCTTCATGAACTAAACTTCTTGATGCACTTCATTGATGCCTTCTGCTATTATCTGTACCTTTTGAACAAGAAATAGTAAGCTTAACCTTTAATAAAGACAAATATAACTTGTAACTAAGCTTTAGGTAGATTTCTTTTTAGAAAAATATAGTTTAAAAACCTGATTTAAATGTAGTTGGATAAAATAATGTTGAGGTTGTTAAGTAGGATCTCTTGGTTTTACATTAATTTATTTTACTATTAAATTTGCAGGCTGAGTTTAGAAAAGATTCCTTCTGTGCCATCTTCTGAATTTACTGATGAAAGTGTTTCAGGTAGTGGTGAAGACCCCTGTGTTTGCAAGCACATTACTGATGAACAGTGTACTTGTATTTAAAAAATGCTTGCTGTATCCTGATGCCACGTAGATTAAACTTGAAAATGTTATTTAGGGAAATTCTGCTTCTTGTATTAATATTAATATTAATAAATTTTTTAAAAAGGAAACAACCTAGGAAACAGAAATTAAATTTCCCTACTCTTTCTTAGTGGATTGGTTTATTTGTATCCTGTTTCTTAAACAATGCACCTTGTAAAATAGGATAGATTACTTTTTTTTCCCTTCCCCCAGCTAAAGGGAAGTGTGTTGGTATGGCTGCTGCCATAGAAATCAAGCACAACAGGACAACTAATGCTACCATAGTAGAATGTAAACTACGAACGTTTTAAGTAATGTGACCCTTATGACAGAGAGACCATGCATGATTTTTAAGTATTTTTTTCTACTCTTAAATAATGATACTGATTGACCTAGTTTAATGAAGGGGGTAGGCTAACACCAGTTTACTGAAGAGATGACCCACAACTTTCATGAATGTATTTGTGCCGTTGTTCATTGTATTTACATGTTATGCAGAGCTGGTTTTATTTTGAGGGCTGCATCTTTCTGATTCTGTTTTAGTTACAGGGAGTACTTTTATTGTGTTTTTATTGATGTTTCTAAAACCAAAAATACTGTAAAGTGGTTTATTCAAGAACATTTTTCAGTTTCAAGTACACCTCATCTAATACCAAATAGATAACTAGCCTAAGTTTCAAAACTGCAATTTTAGAGCTTAGTAATTTTTATATTGTGCTCTTTTCCTTGCCACTTCCACTATCCCTTAAAAAGATGATTGTGTACTTGAAAATAAGCAAAGAATACTAGTATATTGAAATAATTGTAGTATTATTTTATCATAAAACAGTACAAATACAGAGTTGAGAAACTGCTGTTATCTGAGATTGATTGTGATGGTGTTTAATTCCTGGTTTTCTTCTTTGGAGCTTGCAGAAGATGCCAAAGAAAAGGAAACCTGTTGTTAATAGACAATTGATGTGTTCAGTCCTTACTTCCACTAGAAATTTTGTCGTCAAAGATGTTGAGAACATTTGAGTTACTATATTGTGCTGTTTCTTAATTTATAAAATATCTGAATGCACCTCAGCATGTGATAGATATTTTAGATATTTAAAATATAAATTACATGGGTTTTTTTCTTCCTTAACATAATTGAAATAAAAGCAGAGAATTGTATTATGACAATAAATCACTATAAAAAGGGCCATTCTTTTGGGTGCTTCTTGAAGCAATTTTTATTTAAATGAACAGCTAAAATACCTGTATTGATTTATTCACAATTCCTGTGCATTTTCACTTTGAAGCGTTCTGTTCTTAATACTCACAGACACTGTTGTTAACCCTTGGAACAGGGGAAACAAAAGGAAATCGGTTTCTTCAGAATTTGATTTTCATTAAAGGACTTAAAAATGTAACTCTACTCTATATTACTGAGTCTTCAGACAAGCAGAACTAGAAAGTTTTCTGACCAGTAACTTTTTTTAATTTCAGGAGCTAGAAATGAGGAAGACCTGATCTGATTTTGCTGCAGGTGTTTGTATCATTCTGAAAATGACAAGAATAGTGGCAGTGTCACACTGCAGCTGCTTGAAATATCCACTGCTTTAGGCTCTTCTAAAGAAGCTCTTTTTTTAAGAGAGAAAAAGGAATAAAAAATACATTGATTAAGGGGAATTGATTGTTGCTTAATAGAAAAGAATATGTAAAGAGAGAACCCAATGCTCAAGAGATTCTTAGGAGTATAAAGGCAACAGGAAGAAAAGCATTTTTTGTCCTCCTAATTTATTTTGTTGCTGGATAAGTTTAAAGCTTCTCATACATGGCAGTCAAAGATTTTAAAAGGTTGAATCCTGAAGACACTTCTTAGTAAGTTTTTCTCAAAAAGATTCCCAAAGGACTTCCATTTTTATTCAGGTTACATTCTAGTAGTAGTAGTGCCATCATCACAGTAAGGTCTGATCACCTTAAGGTCATTCTTAAAGGAGAGTGTTGTATGTGGTTTGTTCCTTCTATTGTGATCTTTCCAAAGGGTTGATATTTTTGCTGGATTAATGCTTTTTATGCTACCTAAGGATTTACTGTTTTCCCCAGCTGTTGCAAAGCGTGATGTCATATGTGAGTAGAAAATACTGAAGATTTGGTTTAAATTTCTTGTTTGAAATTTATTTCTGTGGAAGCTTGCTCTTTTGTAGAAATGAGCTCTGCTTCTTGGTAGAAGATTTCACTGTCCCGAAGAAGAATCTTCAAACATGTCCAGAGCTTAGGTGACACCAAGGTAGCCTGGTTTCAGAATTCGGAGTACTTA